GATGTTCCTACAATTAATGAAAATTTCATAGACTGACTGGGGAAGAAAGAGACCATTTTATGTCCCCTACCAGATGGCCTAAAACAGCTGCTCATTTTTTTCTTTGAACTGTGTTTCTAATGACTCCTCTGTCCTTTGAAGTCTGCCTCTGAGCTGCTGAACCAGATGTATTTGCATGATAGTAGCAGAGCACGTTTAACAGTCCAGGACTTGTGCTATTTTCCCTCATGGCCACTGCTGGATACTCTTGCTCCTGTTTGGGGGTTTTGAGGGGTGAGTAAATGCGAAGGCTTACCAGGCGCTGGTAAAATGTGTCTTGGTGTAACATCACTGGCTTCAGTGGGGTTATTCCCTAAACCCACAGCATCTTTACCCAGGTCTCAGCTAGTTTCATTCCTTTCTAAACCCATGCAGTGGTGTCAGTCTGCTTTCAGTTGCAGATTTATTGGGGCCTCGCAAAAGCGGGGGCTGCTGTCAAAATGCACATTTCAGCACCATTTGAAAAACAGAGGACAAGAAGGAAGGAGTAGCTTTAAATATGTATTAAGAAGTTTTAAAAATAATAAATCACAAAATAAAATCGTGACAAAAGGAACAAAACCAAAAAAAGGTCCCCGAGCATGGGTTTGGTAGAAATTCATACCGAGCAGGGAAGACTTGGGAAAACAATGATGAAAGAGTGATGGCTGGGCTGGGAAGGCAAGGAGCTCCCTGAAATCATCCTCGTGCAATATTAATACGTGGCACTGCTTGACGTTGCCTCTGCTACTTGTTTCGCCGTGCCTGCCTCAGAGGCCTGTTAGGGGCTTTTGGGGAACAAATAATAAAGAGTAAACGGAACGATAAAGGTGAGAAGCAGAGCAATTAGCCATAACCAGACAGCCCAGGGCAAAGAAGAAAGCCAAGGCGATGATGCTGGTGGCACAGCATGTACTTTTCTTACTTGAGGTGCTCAGCCTGATAAGGAAATGAAGCTAAAGCGAGGTAAAAGGGCGGTAAGACAGTCTCTCGAGTGAGGTACCAGACCTTGGCTTCGCCTGGTTGTGACCCGGGAGGAGAGGGGACCGTGCCCGGACCTGCAGCCCTCCCGCTGCTTCCTGGGTTTTGCAGGTCCCTGTGTCGGCAGCTGGCCCTGTGCAGCAATGCAGTAACGCTTGGCTCGGACCCATTCAAGTGTATTTCCCCATCAACTGGGGCTTCTCAGTCCCTGGCCCCTCTCCTGGGGTCCTATTCACAAGGAAACATCAGGAAACTGTCACTTAATTTGATGTTCCCCAACAGCAAGAAATTAATTCTGGGTGAGGTGCAGATCAAATTTGGAATGACATCCTTAAGGCAGGTGGGTTTCTCTTCCCAACTGCCAGCTTCATGTGTCCCCAGTGCTGAAATTTGCCATGTCCTGGTGCCGAAATCTGCCGTGTCCCGGTGCCGAAATCTGCCGTGTGCCAGTGCCAAAATCTGCCATGTCCCGGTGCCGAAATCTGCCATGTCCCAGTGCCAAAATCTGCCGTGTCCCAGTGCCGAAATCTGCCGTGTCTCAGTGCCAAAATCTGCCGTGTCCCGGTGCCGAAATCTGCCGTGTCCCAGTGCCGAAATCTGCCGTGTCTCAGTGCCGAAATCTGCCGTGTCTCAGTGCCAAAATCTGCCGTGTCCCAGTGCCGAAATCTGCTGTGTCCCATGTCTGTGCCTGGGACGGGGCAATGGGTGTGGGGCAGGAGCAACCCGTTACGGTTCCGCAGTCCCAGACCGTGGTCTTGTTTCAGGTTCCATCCAGCACTCGCTGTTGGTTTTAAGGAAACGCCGAGTGTCTGTGGTGGTTAAAATCTGCGGAGGCCTGCCGGCACGCCGCGGCCAGGCCCAGCGCTTCTGCCGCAGCCAGGGATGCTCGAGCTGCGGCTGGGATGGCCACAAAGACGGACGGGCAGTGCCACCTACCGCGGCCGGCCCCGGCACCGCTCCGGCCCCGGGACACGGGGCCTGGCCTCGGGCGGGAGGTGGAGAGAGCGGGAGCGGGGCCACTGCCCGTGGCAGGCGTGCGTGCTGCCCCGCCATCGCGAGATCTTCCTGCCGGCTGAGTGCTGAGAGCGTGACACGGGTGTGTGACACGGGTGGGAGAGGGACGTGGATGTGTGACATGGATGTGAGCTGGGACACGGATGGGAGAGGGACATGGATGTGTGACATGGATGTGAGCTGGGACACGGATGGGAGAGGGACATGGATGTGTGACATGGATGTGAGCGGGACACGGATGAGAGAGGGACATGGATGTGTGACATGGATGTGAGCGGGACATGGGTGGGAGAGGGACATGGATGTGTGACATGGATGTGAGCGGGACACGGGTGGGAGAGGGACATGGATGTGTGACATGGATGTGAGCTGGGACACGGATGGGAGAGGGACATGGATGTGTGACATGGATGTGAGCTGGGACACGGATGGGAGAGGGACGTGGATGTGTGACGTGGATGTGAGCTGGGACACGGATGGGAGAGGGACGTGGATGTGTGACATGGATGTGAGCGGGACACGGATGGGAGAGGAACATGGATGTGTGACATGGATGTGAGCGGGACACGGGTGGGAGAGGGACATGGATGTGTGACATGGATGTGAGCTGGGACACGGATGGGAGAGGGACGTGGATGTGTGACATGGATGTGAGCTGGGACACGGATGGGAGAGGGACATGGATGTGTGACATGGATGTGAGCGGGACACGGATGGGAGAGGGACATGGATGTGTAACATGGATGTGAGCTGGGACACGGATGGGAGAGGGACGTGGATGTGTGACATGGATGTGAGCTGGGACACGGATGGGAGAGGGACATGGATGTGTGACATGGATGTGAGCGGGACACGGGTGGGAGAGGGACATGGATGTGTGACATGGATGTGAGCTGGGACACAGATGGGAGAGGGACATGGATGTGTGACATGGATGTGAGCTGGGACACGGATGGGAGAGGGACGTGGATGTGTGACGTGGATGTGAGCTGGGACACGGATGGGAGAGGGACGTGGATGTGTGACATGGATGTGAGCTGGGACACGGATGGGAGAGGGACGTGGATGTGTGACATGGATGTGAGCGGGACACGGATGGGAGAGGGACATGGATGTGTGACATGGATGTGAGCGGGACACGGGTGGGAGAGGGACATGGATGTGTGACATGGATGTGAGCTGGGACACGGATGGGAGAGGGACATGGATGTGTGACATGGATGTGAGCGGGACACGGGTGGGAGAGGGACATGGATGTGTGACATGGATGTGAGCGGGACACGGATGGGAGAGGGACATGGATGTGTGACATGGATGTGAGCTGGGACACGGATGGGAGAGGGACATGGATGTGTGACGTGGATGTGAGCTGGGACACGGATGGGAGAGGGACATGGATGTGTGACGTGGATGTGAGCGGGACACGGATGGGAGAGGGACGTGGATGTGTGACATGGATGTGAGCTGGGACACGGATGGGAGAGGGACGTGGATGTGTGACATGGATGTGAGCGGGACACGGATGGGAGAGGGACATGGATGTGTGACATGGATGTGAGCTGGGACACGGATGGGAGAGGGACATGGATGTGTGACATGGATGTGAGCGGGACACGGGTGGGAGAGGGACATGGATGTGTGACATGGATGTGAGCGGGACACGGATGGGAGAGGGACATGGATGTGTGACATGGATGTGAGCGGGACACGGGTGGGAGAGGGACATGGATGTGTGACGTGGATGTGAGCGGGACACGGATGGGAGAGGGACATGGATGTGTGACATGGATGTGAGCTGGGACACGGATGGGAGAGGGACGTGGATGTGTGACATGGATGTGAGCGGGACACGGGTGGGAGAGGGACATGGATGTGTGACATGGATGTGAGCGGGACACGGATGGGAGAGGGACATGGATGTGTGACATGGATGTGAGCTGGGACACGGATGGGAGAGGGACATGGATGTGTGACATGGATGTGAGCGGGACACGGGTGGGAGAGGGACATGGATGTGTGACATGGATGTGAGCGGGACACGGATGGGAGAGGGACATGGATGTGTGACATGGATGTGAGCGGGACACGGGTGGGAGAGGGACATGGATGTGTGACGTGGATGTGAGCAGGACACGGATGGGAGAGGGACATGGATGTGTGACATGGATGTGAGCTGGGACACGGATGGGAGAGGGACGTGGATGTGTGACATGGATGTGAGCGGGACACGGGTGGGAGAGGGACATGGATGTGTGACATGGATGTGAGCGGGACACGGATGGGAGAGGGACATGGATGTGTGACGTGGATGTGAGCGGGACACGGATGGGAGAGGGACGTGGATGTGTGACATGGATGTGAGCTGGGACACGGATGGGAGAGGGACGTGGATGTGTGACATGGATGTGAGCGGGACACGGATGGGAGAGGGACATGGATGTGTGACATGGATGTGAGCGGGACACGGGTGGGAGAGGGACATGGATGTGTGACGTGGATGTGAGCTGGGACACGGATGGGAGAGGGACATGGATGTGTGACATGGATGTGAGCGGGACACGGGTGGGAGAGGGACATGGATGTGTGACGTGGATGTGAGCTGGGACACGGGTGGGAGAGGGACATGGATGTGTGACGTGGATGTGAGCTGGGACACGGGTGGGAGAGGGACATGGATGTGTGACATGGATGTGAGCTGGGACACGGATGGGAGAGGGACATGGATGTGTGACATGGATGTGAGCGGGACACGGGTGGGAGAGGGACATGGATGTGTGACATGGATGTGAGCGGGACACGGATGGGAGAGGGACATGGATGTGTGACATGGATGTGAGCGGGACACGGGTGGGAGAGGGACATGGATGTGTGACGTGGATGTGAGCGGGACACGGATGGGAGAGGGACATGGATGTGTGACATGGATGTGATCTGGGACACGGATGGGAGAGGGACGTGGATGTGTGACATGGATGTGAGCGGGACACGGGTGGGAGAGGGACATGGATGTGTGACATGGATGTGAGCGGGACACGGATGGGAGAGGGACATGGATGTGTGACGTGGATGTGAGCTGGGACACGGATGGGAGAGGGACGTGGATGTGTGACGTGGATGTGAGCTGGGACACGGATGGGAGAGGGACGTGGATGTGTGACGTGGATGTGAGCGGGACACGGATGGGAGAGGGACGTGGATGTGTGACATGGATGTGAGCTGGGACACGGATGGGAGAGGGACGTGGATGTGTGACATGGATGTGAGCGGGACACGGATGGGAGAGGGACGTGGATGTGTGACATGGATGTGAGCGGGACATGGATGGGAGAGGGACATGGATGTGTGACATGGATGTGAGCTGGGACACGGATGGGAGAGGGACATGGATGTGTGACATGGATGTGAGCGGGACACGGGTGGGAGAGGGACATGGATGTGTGACATGGATGTGAGCGGGACACGGATGGGAGAGGGACATGGATGTGTGACATGGATGTGAGCTGGGACACGGATGGGAGAGGGACATGGATGTGTGACGTGGATGTGAGCTGGGACACGGATGGGAGAGGGACATGGATGTGTGACGTGGATGTGAGCTGGGACACGGATGGGAGAGGGACATGGATGTGTGACGTGGATGTGAGCTGGGACACGGATGGGAGAGGGACATGGATGTGTGACGTGGATGTGAGCTGGGACACGGGTGGGAGAGGGACATGGATGTGTGACGTGGATGTGAGCGGGACACGGATGGGAGAGGGACATGGATGTGTGACATGGATGTGAGCTGGGACACGGATGGGAGAGGGACATGGATGTGTGACGTGGATGTGAGCTGGGACACGGATGGGAGAGGGACATGGATGTGTGACGTGGATGTGAGCTGGGACACGGATGGGAGAGGGACATGGATGTGTGACCTGGATGTGAGCTGGGACACGGATGGGAGAGGGACATGGATGTGTGACATGGATGTGAGCTGGGACACGGGTGGGAGAGGGACATGGATGGGAGAGGGACATGGATGGGAGAGGGACATGCATGTAAAGGGTGACAAGGATGTGTGACATGGATGTGAGTGTGACACGGCTGTGAGCGTGACATAGATGTGAATGTAACATGGATGTGAGCAGGACACAGTTGTGAGCAGGACATGGATGTGTGACATGGATGCAGAGGGTGATGTAGCTGTGAGGGTGACACAGCCGTGAGCGGGACATGGATGTGAGAGTGGCATGGATGTGTGACATGGATGTGTGACACGGATGTGTGACATAGCTGTGCGAGTGACAGGGCTGTGAGGGTGACATAGATGTGTGACACGGCTGTGAGGGTGACACTGCTGTGAGGGTGACATATCTGTGAGCGTGACACGGATGTGTGACATGTCTGTGTGTGTGACACGTCTGTGTGACACGGCCGCCGGCCCGGTGCCTGCCCGCCCAGGCCCGCAGCCCCTCGGCCGCTCCCCGCGGGGCCGGGACACGCTGCCCTCCGCCGCCGGCCCCGGGGGCTGCCCCTTCGCTTTCCCCACGCTCCTTCGCGGGGAAAAACTCGCCCGTGGGCCGCGGGTGGCGGCGAGGCCCGCGCCCCGGAAGCGCTCCCCGTTGCCATAGCGGCGCAGCCGGGAGGGAGCGAAGATGGCGGCGGCGGCGGGGCTGGAGGAGCCGGAGCCCGGCGGCTCTTTCCGCCGGTACCTGGCGCGGCTGGGCGCCCTGCGGCCTCAGCCCGGCGCGGAGCGGCCCGACGGCGGCCGCCGCACCGAGCTCCACCTGCTCTTCGACCAGCTCATCTCCGAGAGCTGCGGGCCGGCGCCCGCGGCCGGGCCCAGCCCTCAGGTACCGGCCGGGGAGCGGGGCCGGGGATTCCCCCCCCCGCCCCCTTCCCGCTCCACGCACCGGCGCGCACACGCGTGTGTGTGTGGGGGGGTGGGGGGGGGGCGGTGCGACGCACGCTCGAGGGGGAAAAAGGCGCTCGCACGCGGGTGCGCACGTCACGGGGGTGCACGCATGGCGGGAGGACACACACACGCGCGGGCGCTTTCCCGGGTGGGCGCCGGCTCGCGTTGGGGGGGGGGGGCACCTCGCTGCCAGGCCGTGGGTTTTCCCCGCGCGTTTTCCACACCGCTCCCCGCGGCCCCGTTCCCTCCTGCCTTCGCCCCGGTCCCCTTCCCCACCTCCGCGGGTCACCCGCGAGCTCTGCCGCCGTGGGCCGAAACCCGGCGTGGGCGGGCGGCGGGTGGGACTGCAGGCACGGGGGACCTGGCGGTTTTTCACAGTCTGCTACTCAAACAATTAAAAATTTTGGAGTCTTGAAGCAAGCCCGTCAAAGCTGCGTGTGGGGAACACGCTGCCCTTCATTATTACACGGTGAAGATACATTTTATTTCCAGAGTAGGCTTACTTTGCACTTTGGAATTAATTGACTCTTTTGGACAGTGCTCTTTTCCCCCTCCCCCAACCCCCCCCCCCTTCAATTCCTTGACCTAGCTTTGCATTTTTCTTTTGCCATTATTATTGGCTTTGATTTTGCTCCAGTGTTTAAGTGGTATTGTTTGAGCAGCACTCCTGCAATTGGAATCCGTGTCAACATATCCCTGCATTGGGATGCAGGTCTGTGGGTAAATGAAGGGAAGCTCACTAGCTGGAGTTCCATTCATTTTGTTACATTATCCATGTGTATTGATGTTAGTGGTATCCACACGCAGATCTGGTTGTGTGATCAAAGTCTTAGCTGATGATGTGGTTTCCACCCTAGCTTTGTAGTTTCTAAATAATAAACCGAGGCTTTCTTTTCCAGGATGTTTGTGCGCTGCTTGTCCAAGCCTGTCAGCTGGTTCACCTTGATCAGGAACATCTTGTCAGCAAAGTTTGTCAGCTTATCCATCACTTACTCAACAAATTTCAGGTACGAAAAGTTTGGCTTTGTCCCTCCTTCCCCTGTGTGCTGGATCCCTGGTCCCCCACTAAGCCAGGGTGGCCTTCTGTCTCTTTTTATGGGGCCATGGAGCCAACCTTCGTGCAGAGTTTCCTGGATTTTCACTGTATTTATTCTTAGCTGAGGTTCTGATCTGTGGCTCTAGCACGGTTCCTCGTGTCAAAACAGCTGTCAGTCAGAAGTGATACACCATCAGAAATACTCTTGGCTGTAGGACGCTTGTGTTGATTTATGCAGTTCTTAAGCGTTAGCTGATTCTGTGGTTGGGTGTAATTTTAACAGCCAGATCACCTGAGTCTGTAACCAACATATCTGTGTATATTGACTCCAGCAGTGCACGATGCTGTTTTCTTAACCACAATCCTTTTCTGTTACAACAGGTGATGGTTGATGAACAGAACTTGAATTTTCTTCTCTCCTACTGCGTCTCTGCTCTTAAGCAGTGCAGCTCTTGGACACACGTTGAAATTCTGCAAGCCTTAGCAGCTCTTGTTTACAATAATGGACCTAAATGTCAGAAGGTGAGTTTACAAGCCATGAGAAAGTAACCGCAAAAAAGATTTGCACCCTTTTGCTGTTTCTACTTTTTTATATATTTTTTTTTCTCGAAAGAAAGAAAGAATAAAAGAGGGTTGTGTTCCCAGATTGCCTTGCCTTTCATGCTAAGATTAGATCCCATTTAAACAGTGACTGATATTTATGGAAAAGTTGAATTTCAGCTGTGATAGATGTCTATACTAATAATCAAGAGATAGCAAGATTCTTCCCATGCCAGATACCTCTGTACCTGCAGGCTGCAGCTGTAGGGAGCACCTATGATCTGGCGTGAGCCGAAGGCACACTATTACAGAAGGGCACCAGGCTTAGTCTGCAGACTAACCACCCCGGTATGCCCGTGTATCGGGCAGGAAGAACGCGGGGAGCTTCAGGTTTCACATTACTCAGCAGGCTCCATTGAGGATCCTGCAACCGATCCCGTAACCAGACCGGGTCTTTAGTGTGCGCTGGGCTCAAAGCCGTTTCAAAGTGGAGACGATCAGGTATCAATCCTGAGCTCTGTACGAAGCTCCTTGTTGCTGCAGTGTGGCTGATAGTGTTTGATATGTTGAATTCTCCTGCTGTCACCAACTCTTGGCAGCTTGCAGAGCAGTTTCTGCTGTTGGGCTGAAGCACAGTGTGGTGATGCTAGCAGTTTTGGAGCTGCCAGCTTGCGTGGGTTTATAACCTATATAACTGCAGCAGTTTGGTACAGCAGTTGTTACTAACTTAGCTTTATGTCTGGGAAGAAAGCATAAGCTGGGACTCAGTCTGAACTATGCTCACGCTTGATGCTTTTTAAATATAAAATAAGAGAACTTCAGAAATTAATATTTTCATGTCATTGTTTATGAGCATAATGCATTTATGGAATCTGAAATCGCACTTGACAAGTCTTTTTTTGTAGCGTAGATATGTTTAGTTACCAAACAGAAGAACCAGGAGGCTGAGGGAAGAGCACTGACCCCTAATCACTTTTGGTGGTTTGTTTTAGTATCTCCCGGATTTGCTGGGCAAGACTGGGCTCTTGGTGCAGTTCAGCAGCTCTGCTCAGCCGGACGTGGAACTCAGGAGGGCAGCAGTACGCAGCATGGCAAACCTGTGTCTCAGGTGCGTACAAGCCTTTTCAGATGGTGGAGTGGATGCTTTAGAAGATGTACATCTGACAGCATGGACAGCTGCTCTGCTCTGTTTGTGCTAGGAACAGCAAATTCAGGAGCAGAAAGGTGTATATGCATGAGTTTGAAATGTAGAACTGTAACGCTCCAAGATACTGTATCATCTGTGGATAAAACCATAAACTTGGTCTTCCAAAAATAATGTTGCAGAGATTAGTTTAGGGAAGAAAAGAAGTGTTGTGCTGTCTGGTTCCTGCAGTTATTCTTTGGGTTAACTTTGCATTAGAAATGGTCAGCTACAAGTTTTTATAGGGATTGTCAGTTATTCTTTTGCAATTCATCCATTTTCCCATTTCGCATGTAAATATGCTGATGTTACAACAACATCAAGTCTTCGTTAGCTGCTATATGGGAAGAATTTTGACTAACCAGGCTCCGTAGGCGAGCAAGCAATTAATTAAAGCAATAGGTATTTGGACTTGCTGTAAAGGGGTTTTTGTTTAACATGTCCGCTGAACAGATGGCTTGATTTTTATTAAACAAACAAACAAAACCCAAACAAACACAAAAGCTTTGAATTGCAGCACTTATAGATGAAGTCTGAAGAACTGCTTAATGTAAATAAATGCAACATCTGGCAGTTTGGGGCATGATGATTTTTCTGTGTGGAGAGTTGGGATTGTTTAGCCTGGAGAAGAGAAGGCTCAGTGAGGATCTCACCAATGTGTATAAATACACGATGGCAGGGAATGAAAAAGGCAGAGCCAGGCTGTTCTCAGTGGTGCCCAGTGAAAGGACAAGAGGCAACAGGCATAAACTGAAGTACAGGAAACGGTGATTAAATGTAAGAAAGGAAAAAAAAAAAACCTAAGGATTATCGAACCCTGGAACCAATTGCTCAGAGAGGCTGTGGAGTCTCTGTCCTTGGAGATATTCAGAACCTGACTGGAGACAGTCCTGAGCAACCTGCTCTGGTTAACTCTGCTTCAAGCAAGGGGGTTGGACTAGATGATCTCCAAAGGTCCCTTCCAACCTCAACTATTCTCTGATTCTAATTTCAGAAAAATCACTTGCAATATTAGAGTTGTCCTGTGAGTATTGTCAGGCATGCGTTGGTGGCTTGAAGTAATTAAATGTGTTGGAACCAGGTGCTTAGGAATCCATTACAAAAGAATTTGTTTAATGACTAAATCCACTGCAACAATAGCCAGCTCCTGCTAAATGGTACTCAAGGTAGCAAAGACGAAGTGATGGAGTTGCCCTCTCCATGCAGGAAGTCAAGTGGATATTAAAATGTTTCAGCACATTAAGGTTGCCCAGACTTCATGGAAACTAGGGAAACGGCAGAAATCATTCCAGGCCCTTCTCAATGCCAAATTTTGCCTAAAAAGCATTTCTGAGCATGACAGCTTGTTAAGCTATGCTTGGAGAGTTGTTGTAGTTGAGAAGGTGGCCACAGAGGCAGAGTGGGTGTAAGGCACACTACGATTGTACTAATTCTTTGTGCAGAAGGCTTCATTTTGTTTTTTATAGTGGTAGAGCTGAACCCTTTCACAGAGCTGTCCATCCACCTGGGGCCGCGCTCGTCAGTCCAGCAGAGCTCTTGGATCTGTGCTTGTGCAACTTTACAAAGCTGTGGGACAGGCTGTAAACCAACCCTTTGTTGTCTCCTGCTTTAATTTTAGTGTGCCTGGGCAGCCATACTTGGATGAGTCCTACAGAAGTGTCTGTTTTCAAACTTTTCTTAGTGTTCTGCAGTCTTCAAAAACCCCTGATGTAGATGACATCACTTTTTGCATGGTAAG